ATGGAAAAACAATGGCAGATGCTGCAATGTTGTGTTGAAGTCAGGTGTATTTGAAACATACACAAAAACAATATTCTATCAATACTGGATACAGAGTGAAAGTGATGATTCAGTTAAAACAAAATGGACGGAACAAAGAGATTCCACTGGTGCTATATGTGAAGAGAAAATAGAAATATCTTTCTCTCCAAGCCAGAAAGACAAATTCAAAAAGTTAGGTACTCTTCATATATATAGAACATCTAACAGATTGCAATTCCAAGGACAAGGATCCAAAATATGGTATGCACAAGAAGTCCCCAAACTTGCTTCCTTGGTAGCCAGAATTCAAAAAGGTGAACTTGAAGATATACCTGTCCTTATGGAAGCTGAAGATGAAAGAGTTAAAACATACGACTACAATGTAATAAGTGACATAGACAGTGACAATGATCTCGGTGACACTGCCACCCACAAAGGAAAGAAGACTACCCCATCCAGAAAACAGTACCTAACTAAGAGCCCCAACAGTGAAAACATTGGTAGTACTTACAACTTCCTACAAACTGTTCGATCCCTCAAAGACTCCTTCTCAGTTTATGAATCGAAGCTGGACCAACATATGCTGTCAACTGAACAGGACCATAAAGACCATTCAGTTCAATGTGCCAATAATCACAAAGCTTCAAACAACCAATTTTCAGTGTTCCAAGAAGAGATCATTCAACGATTAGAAAAAATGGAGAACGATATCTTAAATCTACACAATGAAAAAATGACAACTGCAAAGAAGCATAAACATTTATCAGACTCTTTGGGAAAACTCAGCTATCGGATGACAACGCTTGAAGAAAAACTAGAGGGACTCACTATATCTAACCCAAGAAACAACGCTGAAACTACAGAAAATGACCCATGTATTGACTTGAATGCTGCTATCTCCACCTTGTCAACTCGGATTACAAATGTAGAACACTCCATGGATACTCTGATGACTGAAATAGTTGGTGGGGGGAACCACCCCTCCCCTAAGGACCAAAACCATGACCCTCAGAAGATATACACAGAGAAATGGCAAACTCAGACCCCAAAAAGCAAGAAATCTAATCCGACTTCAGCATACCAACCGCCAGACGAACCCAAGGTCGTGCAAACTGACAAAAAGAGGAATGCTTCACCAGATGAACCCAAGGTCCTGCAAACTGACCAAAAGAGGAATGCTTCCCCAAAGATCGAAGACAGAGATCAACACCAAAATGTTTCAAAGAATCAGATAAATATTGATCTAAAAAAGGATGAACACAGCATTCCAAGACTCCAGCCTAATTTCAAAACTCTATACATTGGTGATTCTACTCTGCGATTCCTACCAAGATACTTGTCTGACTTCCAAACAAAAGTACTATGTTTCCCTGGAGCAACTACAAACAAACTCAATGATATCTTGACTCATTCAATCTCAAAACCCAACATTGAGACAGTTGTTCTACATGTGGGTGTAAGCAATTGTCGCAGTGCTCCAAAATATACACTTGAAGAATGCCAGTATGGGGATTTGGTGAAGACATGCCACACCAAATTCCCCAAAGCCACTGTTCACCTATCACTAATCATACCCAGTGCTACAAGAGGTATGCTATTCAACAGTATATGCAAGGGGAACCGCATCATTGAAGACATTGCGCACAGAGGAACAACAATCAAAACTATTGACCATTCGGACCTTTTCATCACATCCTCTGGTTCCCCGAGAAAAGCAATGTATCACGACAAGGTTCATCCCAGCAAATATAAATGTGACATATTAGCCCAATCTTTTCGGAAACAATTGGCAGGACAATCACAGAAACGCAAGCCAAATGAAGACTTCCCACCGCTGCCTCAATCCCGTCAACTTAATTACCAGCTAGACAACATCCAGAGATCACTGATTATAATCATAAGTGCCCTGGCATGACCCCTTCTCCTGCCACTGTCAACCATCACTCACCCCAGCAGACCAGAAGACCTAATAGCAGGACATCTTTCACAACAGGTGGCCCTCAAGCTTATCCCCACTGGTCAACACCCTCAATGCATCAGACTGAATACACCTCCTAGACTAACAAATGATGATCCACAACTATATCCCCAAGCAATGGCACATCCCCAGTCACTAGGATGGAATGTACCTACTGGAAATCAAAGTAACAACTACAGCACGATGCAGTATCCTCAGCAACCCGATTGGAATGCGCTTACTGGATGTCAAACTGACACAGTAAAGGACCTTATCTTGAAACTGAAAATGTATCTGCCAGGACTCCTATAAAATCAAAACTAACAACAACAAAATTACTATGACTAACTGCCCTGACCGACTCTGCTGGAACCTGCAACTGTATATATATAACTGTTGATATATCAGGAAAGTGTGTTTCATCTGTGCTTTATTTCACCAACACTATGTTTCTTACATGTGATGTCAATGTCTCCTTCTGGAATATCCAGGGAATGAAGGATGACAAAATGGATGACTTGTGTAAATGTATAAACCAATATGACTTTATTGGTTTAACCGAAACATGGGAAGTGACTACTCCCATAAACATTCCAGGGTTTTCCACCATCAGCAGCCCTAGAAGGAATGCAATAAACTGCGACAGAGGAGGAATAGCCTTCCTCTGTAAGGACAGACTTAGACACTTTGTTAGAATAGTATCTAGTAGTGTTTTTTCCTTATGGATAAGAATTGATAAGCAGATGTGTAATACTAGAAGTGATATTTACTTGGGCATTATTTATATTCCTCCAGATGGATCATCATTTTGGAGTAAATGCAAAAATGACCCCTTCGAATATATTCTAACAGAAATTACAAAATACTCTAGCCTAGCTCATTTACTGCTAGGTGGTGACTTAAATGCCCGTACAGGATGTAAAGATGAATGTGTAGATGGTACTAACCTTGTTCATTTATCTGATCTTCCTACAGACATAGCCTCCAGTGTTCAAATGCCAAGACGAAGTAGGGACACAAAGATAAATAATCATGGAAAATGTCTACTTGACCTAGCTACCTCATGCAAATTAGTCATTTTAAATGGGCGAAGTGTCGGTGATAGGCTTGGAAATTTTACTTGTCACACCTATAATGGCCAAAGTGTTGTGGACTATATACTAGTATCTGAACATATATACCCACATGTTTCCTACTTCAACATTAAACCCCTTAATTGGATATCTGACCATTGCCAGGTTTCACTTAAACTCGACAAGAATAGATCTACTCAAACATTACAACCAAGTTCTCCACAAACTACCAAACACAACAAACAGGAAAACAATAACATATTCTTTAAGCCTCCTAAAAAGAGGAAATGGCATAGTAACAGTAACCTGGCTTTACCTATGTCCCTATCAAATCCATATATACAAAACCTCCTTACAGATTTCATATCATCTATACCACAAACAACACCACAGGAGTATGATAAACACCTATCTAATTTTTCACACATTCTTGAATTGATCAATAACAACTGTACTAATTAACAATAAAACTCAACCTAAAAATCCCTGGTATGATACAGAGTGTAATGTAGCTAAGGAAAATATGGAGGCATGTTATGCCACCTTTGCTAAAACATCCAGTGATCTGGACAAGCACATCGCATTTTCAGCTAAGAAATGCTACAAAAACGTCGCAATTACAAAACAAATCAGTTACGTAAACTAGAATTGTTATCGCAGTCGGATCCACGTAAATTTTGGAAACATTTAGGACAATTACATAAGACAAACCCATTAAATTTTGACCAGCCAACACGAAATGAAACATTCAGTCGTTTCAAATCAATATACAATAGTAAGGAAGATCAATATACAATAGTAAGAAAGATCAATATACAATAGTAAGGAAGATCAATATACAATAGTAAGGAAGTAACCCATCAAACCAGAATACACCCTATTAACAGTGATGAAAAACACGTCAGTCCCCTCCTTAATAATTCCATCTCAGCTGACGAAATTATTACCTGTAGCAAACAATTGAAAAACAATCAGAGTACAGGTGAAGACAACATTACTAATGAATTCATTAAGGCTATAGTTTATCCTACCATTGACCACCTAGTAAAGCTATTGAATGATCTGCTTAACTGTGGTCACTTCCCACAAGAATGGGCAACATCTGTTATTCACCCATTACATAAGAAGGGCAATAAAACCCACCCCAACAACTATAGAGGTATTGCCATAAGCAGCTGCTTAGGTAAACTTTTCTGTAAAATACTTAATGAACTAATAACTAAATACTGTGAAAACAATAAAATATTTGATAATTGTCAAGCAGGATTTAGAAAGGGATTCAGAACATCTGACAACATTTTCACACTGAAAACTATTATTGACAGCTCTAAATCAAAGAAAAAGAAGCTTTATGCTTGCTTTGTCGACTTTAAAAAGGCCTTTGACACTGTTGATCGAAGTATAGTTACATCAAAACTTCATGCATTGGGTATATCTGGTAACATACTTCGTGTTATAACATCCTTATATAACAATGTCCTTTATACAGTTAAAACAAGCCAGGGAATGTCAAGCCCATTTAAATCAAATATAGGGGTAAGGCAAGGATGTATACTATCCCCAACCTTGTTCAATCTATTTATTAATGATCTTGAATCCTATTTTGATAAAGAGAAAAATGGCCTAACACTAGCTGGTCTCAATATATGCCATTTACTGTTTGCCGATGATCTGGTCCTTCTGTCTGATTCACCAGCCAAACTCCAACAGCTTCTCAATAACCTCTCAAATTACTGCAATGACAATAAAATAACTATCAACATTGAAAAAACTAATGTAGTTATATTTGGCACAAAAAACCCACTATCCAATATTCAGATGGTCAGTGGCAGGGCAGAATATTAATGTCTCAGACAAATACAATTACTTAGGTGTTACGTTTCATCAAAATTCTAAATTTAAACATTGTGTGGAATCCCTTGTTTAAAAGGGTCAAAGAGCATACTATGTTCTCTCTTCTAACTTGTTTGGAGATGATTTAGATCCAACAGTCTGCTGCAAAATTTTCAAGGCAATTGTTGAACCTGTTGTTCTGTATAACAGTGAAGTATGGGGAATTGATTTTGTTCTGCAGAGACATATAGATTCCTTCCCACCTGAAAAATTACAAACGAAATTCTGTAAACGTACTCTGGGAGTTTCTCAGCAAACGCATAACTGGGCATGCAGAGCAGAACTTGGTTTGTTTCCCCTATTATTCAGAGTAATTAAATCAATTGTTCAATTCTACAATCATATTTTACAATCTCCAAATACCATTTTAAAACATGCCTTTAATGAATCAATAAAGATTGCCAAACACAAAATTGGATGGTACTATAAACTCAGTTGCCTCTTAGATAAGTTTAACATCAAGGAAAGTAATCTTACTTCCTCCTCTATACTGAAGGACCTCCAATTGAAATTTACAGACATGTTCCACTCATCTCTTCAAGATAATCCAAACACATTAAATTCAAGGAACAAACTTAGAACATATAGAAAATTTAAATCTGAAATCAACTTTGAACCATACCTGCAACACTGCAAAATAAAAAAACACCGTATCCACTTCACAAAACTAAGACTGAGTGATCACAGACTAAAAATTGAACTGGGTAGGAGAACAAGACCACCTACACCTTTGGAGGACCGTCTGTGTGATAAATGCTCTGTCCTTGAGGATGAACAACACCATTTCATGTGTTGCACTAAATATTCAGATGCAAGAAAGTCCTTATTTAACTCCCTTTCCTCTAAAATTAATAACTTTCTCAGACTTACTACCACTGAAAAATTTAACCTTCTTTTTAGAAATAATGATCCAAAAAAACTATAGAAATTATTTGCTACCACATGTACAACTTTAAACATGCTCATTTTTTGTGTATAACATTTTGCAATCAACAGACATCATAACATGTCATGTGTTCAAGTATCACACCTGCCTGTCTGTGTAATTACATAATGTGACAGAGACCGAACTCGGGCCATAAATCAAAGCGTTTTGTTTATGGTGTATAGCCTGATTGGTGTTAAGTTCAAATTGCATGTGGTCAGTGATAGCAGCTGTGTATTGAATATTGTCATTAGCAGACATGCAGGCAGACACACAGGTGTCAATAAAACAAGACATTGAGTTTTGTCTGTGACAGCGACATATCTATATCACAGTTAGAAATTCTGTCAACGCTAAATAATGACATTGCTTTTAAGTATCGAACTGAGAAAGTGACTCGGTAAGAAGAACGTGTGGTGAAATAGAGTGAGTGAGTGAGTGAGTTGAGTTTTACGCCACACTCAGCAATATTCCAGCTATATGGTGGCGGTCTGTAAATAATCGAGTCTGGACCAGACAATCCAGTGATCAAACAAATATAGAAGATCTGATTGTGCTAGGCAATTATTATTATTATACACATTTGTATTATTATATGTTTTGTTGTTCATCATATATATGTGATTCATTATATATCTTGTTTATGTAGTTTATAGAATATTGTCACTGTTTCTGTATGGAACGTTTGCACAATAAATATATTTGATTTGATTTTTATTTGATTTGTAACAAAGAAAACAACATAATTAACATAATTGGCTAGGCAGAAAGCTGATGAAGCCAGAGAGTAGACAAAGGACAGGCGTGGAAGCCAATGATGTACAAATAATAATGAGATGTTTATACAGCAGAGTTTATACAGTAGATTGGGCTTGGTGGATGAGTGCATCATAAGCGGATGGAATGAAGTATCCTTGGTCTCGGTTGATGGTGGGCTTTTGGTGTTTGATCTGACATCACCAGTTTCTCTAACAAACAAACAGACTTCACTAAACGCAAGCTCACCGAAGCCATCCACATCAAACGCCAAAAGCCCACCATCAACCAAGACCAAGGATACTTCATTCCATCTGCTTATGATGCACTCATCCACCAAGCCCAATCTACTGTATAAACTCTGCTCTGTCGTGTGAGATCACTTCAGCTACAATCACGCTTTATCGTCCCAGGCTTAGACTTGCACAGGTCTCTATGGTAATAATTAATAGTTTCATAGAATAATTCTAAAAATAATATAAGTGACATACTGGCGTCCTTATCTAGGCTTGCTTCTTTTAAGGATAGAAGTACTATACATGAAAGGGCGAAGCATTAAGGACAGCCTTGGAGCAAGGCTATCCCAGGCTGTACAGCTGTATTTCACGTGCTGTTACAGATTCTGTGTGTCTCATATATACCCAGGTTGTATTGCAATTACATTTGCAAAGGATCACATGAAAATATATTTTGAGGTAGTGGACTTTTGAAAATAATTTCTACAAAACTGAACCAGAATGAAAGGAGGCACCACTGACCCACGTGGTTATCGGTTGACACGCGTGCGTACTGCTGCTTGGACACGCGGATGTGTTGAATTTGGACTCGTGCGTAACATCAGGGACGCCACTGCATGAGCAAGATGATTTTCAAATTTTCCAAATACTGCGGCCATTTTCAAACCACTCGGTGTCCTATACCAGTGCTCAACCACAACAGCACAGAGGTCTCTTTTACAGACTTAATGGCACATTAAACAATCACGCTTCACCGTTCCCTTAGCTCCAGCAACAGTCACAACGAAGTTAATAGGCGTGGTGGTTCATTAAAACTATATGATTTCTTCACATATTTTTATGCATTGCTTATTTCAGAGACCATGCGTAATTCCACCTCTTCAACATCAGTTTGTATTGTTCTCTGAGATCATGAAAGATACTGCATGAAAATGTACTACACGTTGGTATAATTTTCTCAGCCGAAACACGAACTCAGAATCCAGGAAAGGCCGTGCCAGTGATTTCATATATTATACCTTACATGTATACAAATCTTTAACGAACATGTTCACCTTGTTGTTGCATAAGCAATTAGTCTTATTTATTACCAAAAGCCCTAAATAAAGCAAGTCTAGATTTTCCTCCGGTTGGGGATCTCTAATATCGCAGATATTCTTTTCGATTCAAATGGAGCTATTTGTTTCTATATGAAATAAATATTTGCAAAGACTAAGCCTATGTATAGTGGACGTGATGATGATTTTTATCAAGGGCGTACTTACCATTATGAAAAAAACGCCCGGGCTTACACATGATGTTTGCTAAAGAGAACCATGATAGTTGGGCAAGCCCTCAATACTATCTAAATATAAAACGTTACAACCTATCGGTCTGACGAATAAAGTGGCTTGCTACGCGCCTTCTATGTTGGTGACCACCAGGCCTTCGTGTCTTTACAAAGATTAAAGGTTGAAAATAAAAGTTGTTTGAGATGGCCCCCGACTCGAAATGCGCCCGACTCGACATCATGTATTGTACTGTGAAGCATTTCGAGTCGGGGGTCATCTTAAATTTTTCATATATATTTTCATATATTTCATATATCTTTAATCCTCGCAAAGACACGTGGGCCTGTGCCCTTTGCCTCCCCAGAACATATGGGTGACACCGAAATAGTTTCCATATTTTGCTAGCCTGTCGGGCTAGCTATGCCTGAGAGTTAATAGCCCACAAAATAATTCACTAGCCCGAAATTTGAATGTAGAAACTTACCAAAGATTACAAAAAAGATGAGAATAAGATATTGTCGGTATGACACGGGTTGCATCATTAAGCTGCTATATAATATGATGTACATTTATAAGTGTATTATAATAACTTAACAAGTCGGAGAGAGTGATATATTTACAAAATGACCCCATGAAAATTCACCAGCCATAGCAGGTCTGGTGTGGATTTTTATTAGCCACATGCTAGCGGGCCAGTGACTATTTCGCTCAGGGACTGTGAGACAAATTAAGGCCGCCGCCCCCTCGATAGAGTTGAGACACTGCTGACCTGTGGTACCATTACCTCACCGAGAGAGAAACATGGTTAGTTATGGGGAGAGTAGAAAAGAATGATGGATTGGTTTTCGAAGTGCGCACTATCTGTTAGTCAGTTAGCTGTCGGATAAAGTTTTAATCTTTGACATTGAAAATAGTGTTACAGAAAATATATCCTCTATATACATGTAAGGCCCGTGAAGATCCGGGCTAGAATTGATCTTCAGTAACCCATGCTTGTCGTTAGAGGCGACTGACGCGATCGGGTTGTCAGGCTCGCTTACTTGGTTGACACATGCCACCGTATACCAATTGCGTAGATCGATGCTCATGCTGTTGATCACTGGATTCTCTGGTCAAGACTTGATTATTTACAGATCGCCACTATATAGCTGGAATATTGCTGAGTGCGGCGTAAAACTAAACGCACTCACTCACTCACTATATACGTGCAAGCATTAGTCACTCGGAAGGAGACGACAGAAAGCGTGTCGGCGAAAACGATATGGTTTGGTAGACTATCCTTGCTCTAAGGCTGTAGAGTCAATGATAAGGACATGGTTATAATGCGATTATACTTCCTTAAAATGGGCAAGTTTAGTCAGTTATTGCGACAACTTGTTCGTAGTATTTACAAAATCTCGGACTTGAGATTTAAACTAATGATCGCTTCCTTAGAGACTGGTATATAATATCTGTGCAAGTCTAACGACTGGCCTAGGCATCCAAGTTCAGTGTTGTCGTCTGTGGGTTTTGTGAGTATGTGACTTTACAACCTGCGCACCCTCCTATGGACGAGTCTATGAGTTCCACAACCCACCAATGCAGGAAGTTGAGCGAAAATTCCAATATATATTTGGAGAGACGTTTACGATGAGATACAAAGTTTATATTCTGACACTATATAGATAAGATGCAATAACGTAATTTGAGCTGTGACCACAGACGCGTACTCGATGCATGAAGTGGCCAAGATAGGACCTCACTCCCCCAGCCGACATTGATTCGACCCGTCCATCGTTCAGCCCGCGGACTCAGCAGGACCAGGCGACGGGAAGACAAAACAGGTCTGAAAATGAAGAAAGTCTCAGGGCTCCTTTTCATTATATATATATTTTTTTGACTATGCACTTTTTTTCAGTAAATATGTTCATTTCAGAGACTAGTTGTTAGTCGAATGTCTTCTTGACATCAGTGTGAATGCGTGGCTTTTGGAATAGATTAATGTCTTGTGTAGACTAACGCTTAGTCTCTGAATATGTATAATATTGATAGTAACAAACAAACCCATCTATATTGATTAAGGAGCCTCAGGGATACCAGAGATGGTTGAACCTGAGGAAATCTAGACCTGCTTCATTTAGGACTGTAAGCATTGCAGGGAGGGCAAGGCAGTAAGGAAAATAATGTAGTTCAGGGACTGTGAGACAGTCTAGCAACAGGCTGGCTTGTCAGATGGAGTTCCTGTGATTTTGTTGGAGATTTTGTTTTTTTGTTTTTAGCTTCAGCTTTAAATACTAATATATTTTTACTTGGGCATTGGGCATTAATACTAAGGCAAACATTTAATGCAACAATGTATGTTTTAGTCAAAAAAAATTCAATGGAATGAATCATAATTATGTTGTTATGACTTTTTAGGAACAATTTCTCTCTTTTTAGTTTAATAACCAGACAACAGTAGTCGGTCCTACACTAACAAATTTGACATCGTAATAATTTCACCAGGCATTTCTGTAAACAAGGACCTTTGTGGTTGAGTAATTAATGAAATTCCTGGTTTCGAAACCAGCAATTTGGTCATAATTGAGACGAGGTTGTTTCTAAATGATATTAAAGCTATACAAATGTGGGCGTCTCTATGGCGTGTTACAGATTGATGTATGCGGACTGCAGCAGCCTTCTTGAATGTCAGGTGTTACGTTATTACCGTGGCTATGTAGTCTATCATCAGTATCTGTAGATCAATACTGTGGACGTCACGTCACTGATTGACTAACAACGATAGTCTCCGAAATGATATATTTTAGAAATCAGAAAAAAAAAGTTGATCATAAAAAAAAAATATAAGGAAAAGGAGCCCGGATACTTTCTTCATTTTCAGAAACTGTGGACATCTAGACTTGCATGGGCTTTATTTGATATATTTATATCAGGGTCCGTATGACAGACCACGTGAGTGATACCAGGATTTAAATGACTATGGATTTATGACATTACGGTCCCCAGTCATTTCTGGGTGTAAAATACACGCCATGTCGTGTGGGTGTGACTCTACGTATACTGAAGTAATGGTGAATTATTACATCACCCGGTGATCTAAATGGACCGAGTTGTTGTTTCCTATAGGTATTATCGTCAGTGACAGATTCAGCACTCCGCATAACGTTTTCTTTGATAGCAATGGTAAGTTTCGAATTCACGACTATTAAAAAGGGTTGAGAGGTTGTTTTGTTAATTGGTTGTAGTGTAATGCCGCACTCAGCAGTATTCCAGCCTTTTGGTGGCGGTCTGTAATTAATCGAGTCTGGACCAGACAATCCTCTGGACCAGACACTCCAGTGATCAACAGCATGAGCATTGATCTACACAGTTGGGATACGATGAAAAGTGTTAGCCAAGTCCGCGAGCCTGGCCACCCGATCCAGTTTGTAGCCTCTTTCGACAAGTATGGGTTACTGAAGACCAATTCTAACCCGGATCTTCACGGGTAAGATGAGAGGTGGAGCTTTGACTTTAGATATCTGTCACAACATGTAAATGGTTCTCAATCGTCTTTCTTCTTCTGATTGATAAAACTGATACCAGTTATGTGAAATATGTGGACTACAGATAACTGGTATCACATTTTTAAATGTGTACAAAATTTATTAAAAACAAACAAACCCAAAACCGGACAACACGAAACAACAAATATACTGTGCGCTTAGTGAAAAGTATTCTAAACCTTTACATGTAATATTAATGTTAACTTGGCCCAATTCCAAGGAGTGTTTCAACATTTCGCGCAGATAGTTTCCCGTTTATTGACTTTTTTCAGTAAAAAACATTAATGTGCAAATTAGTCTTTGAAACGTGTCAATTCTCTCAAAAATCAAACATAAAGTAAGCATTGTGTGATCAGTGATGATAGGTAATTTATAACCAAGGACGGATCCAGGATTCTGGAGAAGGGGGTTGCACATAAATGATGAAGTCCAAAGGTTAGGGGAAATCCTCCTCTGGGAAATTTGTGTCGGGGGACAAGCCGCTCAGAAGCGGTGGGGGTGGGGGGATGCGCACCTCCGCTCTGGATCCGCCCCGAACGAGGCTTGAGCCTTTGGTGCCAAGCGCTTCCTCTGTGGCGGTGTGTGGACCCTGCAGAACACGTGGTTGGAGGCGAGGCAAAGGTTTTGTCAGATCTAGCCGGTAGGTGAGGTGATCGATATAAAAATTATCACATAAAGTTAAAAACTTACGAAGGTTTGATTAGTCTGTGCAGAGACCAAATGGTCTCTGGTCTGTGAGATTATTCATTCGATGTTGAGGAATAGCAATTTGGAGCAAATGTGGGGTTTCCCTAATCTATTAATAGTTTTGACCTTCTGCACACAACTGTATTCGGCGGGAAATCATTAGATCTATCTTGCGACTCACAGCCAGCAGCAAACAAGGTAATATCAAAATTCAAATGCTGAAATGTCTCAATGAAACTTTTTTGTTTGCTCTCATAGCATGGAGTGAATTGGTTGGGCATAGTGTTCGAGCTGCTCCCCAGTCATTGTACGGACACGAGACTGCGACCTCTCGCAGCGGGGCAACCCTGAACTTGACAGAACGTTCTCTTCTGATATGCTTTTATAATGTGCCTTTAAATTGCCAATGTCAATGTGCACGTGTGTATTTTATTGATGCATAAAGCATTTATGTAATGAATAACTTGCTGTAGGCGTTGTACTATGCCGCAGACTTTCAACACTGCTCGCAAGCTGGATCGTCTGGCCGGGAGTCGTGTTTTCACGGAGTGGAGCGGTAAACTACAGTCGCCCCCGGTCACTCTCGCACAAACACATACTAGTACATTGAAAAGAAATGTTTTCATTTGATATTCTCAGTAAAAAACATATTAGATCTACTTGTCTTTCGTTTGAGAAAAAAAGCAAAAGCATATATCAGTAAAGGTGTTCTAAAAATCCCATTAATAATTCTTGGGAAAGTTGGCTAAATAGGAATTTATTCTTATGTTACAGGCAACAGTAACTCCAGAACATTCACAACATGGAGCATGTAGATGGTTGTCACAGTCGGCGGGGAAGCATGGTGAGAGCCTCCCATTGTTTGGGGAGAGGATGGTGACAGTCTAACTATGTCTAAGTAGAGATGATTACAGTCTCCCTGTGTCTGGGAGAGGATGGTGACAGTTTCCCTGTGTCTGGAGGTAGAGGATGGTGACAGTGTCCCTGTGTCTGTGGTAGAGGATGGTGACAGTCTCCCTGTGTCTGGGGAGAGAGGATATGGTGACAGTCTCCCTGTGTCTGGGGAGAGGATGGTGACAGTCTCCCTGTGTCTGGGGAGAGGATGGTGACAGTCTCCTTGTGTCTGGAGGTAGAGGATGGTGACAGTTTCCCTGTGTCTGGGGAGAGGATGGTGACAGTCTCCCTGTGTCTGCAGGTAGAGGATGGTGACAGTTTCCCTGTGTCTGGGGAGAGGATGGTGACATTCTCCCTGTGTCTGCAGGTAGAGGATGGTGACAGTCTCCAAAGCTGTGTCTGGGGAGAGGATGGTGACAGTGTCCCTGTGTCTGCAGGTAGAGGATGGTGACAGTTTCCCTGTGTCTGGGGAGAGGATGGTGACATTCTCCCTGTGTCTGCAGGTAGAGGATGGTGACAGTCTCCCTAGCTGTGTCTGGGGAGAGGATGGTGACAGTGTCCCTGTGTCTGCAGGTAGAGGATGGTGACAGTTTCCCTGTATCTGGGGAGAGGATGGTGACAGTCTCCCTGTGTCTGTGGTAGAGGATGGTGACAGTGTCCCTGTGTCTGGGGAGAGGATGGTGACAGTTTCCCTGTGTCTGGGAGAGAGGATGGTGACAGTCTCCCTGTGTCTTGGGGTAGAAGATGGTGACAGTGTCCCTGTGTCTGGGAGGAGGATGGTGACAGTCTCCCTGTCGGGAGGTAGAGGATGGTGACAGTTTCCCTGTGTCTGGGAGAGATGATGGTGACAGTCTCCCTGTGTCGTGGGGTAGAAGATGGTGACAGTTTCCCTGTGTCTTTCGGAGGGAGGATGGTGACAGTTTCCCCGTTTCTGGAGGTAGAAGATGGTGACAGTTTCTGTGGTAAAGGATGGTGACAGTCTCCCTGTGTATGGAGGTAGAGGATGGTGACAGTCTCCCTGTTTATGGAGGTAGAGGATGGTGACAGTCTCCCTGTGTATGGAGGTAGAGGATGGTGACAGTCTCCCTGTGTATGGAGGTAGAGGATGGTGACAGTCTCCCTGTGTATGGAGGTAGAGGATGGTGACAGTCTCCCTGTGTCTGGGGAGAGAGGATGGTGACAGTCTCCCTGTGTCTGTGGTAGAGGATGGTGACAGTCTCCCTGTGTCTCTGGAGAGAGGATGGTGACAGTGTCCCTGTGTCTGGGGAGAGGATGGTGACAGTCTCCCTGTGTCTGGGGAGAGGATGGTGACAGTCTCCCTGTGTCTGCAGGTAGAGGATGGTGACAGTTTCCCTGTGTCTGGGGACAGGATGGTGACAGTTTCCCTGTGTCTGCAGGTAGAGGATGGTGACAGTTTCCCTGTGTCTGGGGAGAGGATTGTGACATTCTCCCTGTGTCTGCAGGTAGAGGATGGTGACAGTCTCCCTAGCTGTGTCTGGGGAGAGGATGGTGACAGTGTCCCTGTGTCTGCAGGTAGAGGATGGTGACAGTTTCCCTGTGTCTGGGGAGAGGATGGTGACATTCTCCCTGTGTCTGTGGTAGAGGATGGTGACAGTGTCCCTGTGTCTGGGGGAGAGGATGGTGACAGTCTTCCTGTGTATCGAGGTAGAGGATGGTGACAGTCTCCCTGTGTCTGGGGAGAGAGGATGGTGACAGTCTCCCTGTGTCTGGGGAGGGAGGATGGTGACAGTCTCCCTGTGTCTGTGGTAGAGGATGGTGACAGTCTCCCTGTGTCTCTGGAGAGAGGATGGTGACAGTCTCCCTGTGTCTGGGGAGAGGATGGTGACAGTCTCCCTGTGTCTGGGGAGAGGATGGTGACAGTCTCCTTGTGTCTGCAGGTAGAGGATGGTGACAGTTTCCCTGTGTCTGGGGACAGGATGGTGACAGTTTCCCTGTGTCTGCAGGTAGAGGATGGTGACAGTCTCCCAAGCTGTGTCTGGGGAGAGGATGGTGACAGTCTCCCTGTGTCTGCAGGTAGAGGATGGTGACAGTTTCCCTGTCTGGGGAGAGGATGGTGACAGTCTCCCTGTGTCTGCAGGTAGAGGATGGTGACAGTCTCCCTAGCTGTGTCTGGGGAGAGGATGGTGACAGTCTCCCTGTGTCTGCAGGTAGAGGATGGTGACAGTTTCCCTGTATCTGGGAGAGAGGATGGTGACAGTCTCCCTGTGTCTTGGGGTAGAAGATGGTGACAGTATCCCTGTGTCTGGGGAGAGGATGGTGACAGTCTCCCTGTGTCTGTAGGTAGAGGATGGTGACAGTTTCCCTGTGTCTGGGAGAGAGGATGGTGACAGTCTCCCTGTGTCTGGAGGTAGAGGATGGTGACAGTCTTCATGTGTCTGGGGAGAGAGGATGGTGACAGTCTTCATGTGTCTGGGGAGAGAGGATGGTGACAGTCTCGCTGTTCCTTGAACTGGAAGAGGGGATGGTGACAGTCTCGCTGTTCCTGGAACTGGAAGAGGGGATGGTGACAGTGTCCCTGTGTCTCTGAGGAGAGAGGTGTGGGAAGATCACTGACAGGTAGGGCTGAGTGAACATTCTGTTTATCACTATCAGCCTTAATAATGCAGTTTGTTCGTTTTTGTGATGTGTTTTTTAATAATCTAAAAGAAGGCAGCACAATGATCCTAACCGACACTGTAACTAATTGAATTGAAATGTTTGTCATTTACTCAATAGTTATGACAGGTGTCTGGCTTCTGTATTTTTGGACAGGATACGACCATGTGTAGCAGGTTGAAAGCAATCTCATAAAATTCTTTCTGGTGTGGCTTCATCTGAGGCCCAGGTCACTCTGTGTGATGTGGGCCGCAACACTCACTCCAGGATTCAATCACTTGGTCCAGGTGCCACTCTGGAATGATCTATGACGGGACTGAATTGTGCCTCCTTCACTGGCATCCCAAGGCCTGCATTAAGTGTACACCTGGCTTCTCAAAAGGAAATGAACTTATTGACACATCTTTCATCACAAATAGAGTTGATAAATATATTTGGTTTTGCAAGTATGATGAATAACAAAGGGCACATCATTACCTGATGTTCAGATTTCTCAGGTATTTTAAGTTAAAGAAATAGATTTTAAAATGTCTAAAATTCAAACAGACCTTTGTACTGTACCATCCAAAATGAGAAGCATTATGTACAAGGTGTGGAAGCTTTTGGTGCTTTTGTATTCATACACTACAGCGACTTGTGGTGTTATAATGAATTGGTAAAGGATTCTCATTTAAAATATGTTCAGTGAGTTGTCAGTTTACATTTAGCATGGTGGTTGAAACTCATTGCTAGTTTCGTGTAGCCAAAACCTGTATTAAATCTTCACTGCAAATGAATGCAATCAACGTATGTGACCTGACCAGCTGATCGCATTGGCACATGTCATGTTGCAAATGGCGACCGGACAGGATTATAACATCTTGTTTGTGGATTTATTGTGTGTAAATAGGTAGGTACGAAACTTAATAATGACTAAGGGCAAAATATTTGAAATAACAACAAAATGTATACTTTAATATGTATTTTGCAAATGGCGACTGGACAGGATTATAACTTCTTGTTTGTGGATTTATTGTGTGTAAATAGGTAGGTACGAAACTTAATAATGACTAAGGGCAAAATATTTTGAAATAACAACAAAATGTATACTTTAATATGTATTTTATTTATCATGTATAAGAAAGTGGCTGTAATCTTCGTAAACTTCCACTGCTGTACCGCTAATCTGTCAGATCGTCCTGACAGGGCACAGACGACCTGAAAAATACTTTCAAGAAATTATATCTCATAGATAAGCCGATCCCCTTCTAGAGACTGCTTTTTTTCGTCCTCCAAATTCGGCTTATCTACGGTAATATACGGTAACCATATTCTTATGATTTGATATGTGTAGTGTCTACCAATTGTCTGAACTTACATCTAATCTTACTGCCATACACACGCTGGAATTACAAATGAATACGCTGAGAAAAATGTTGATAGAAAGAACCTGTAGGAAATGAGGTGTTTTATATTTGTTAGCTGCTTTCCCTGTATGCTGGTTAGTCAGAAGTACTGAATGACCAGTTGGTTGCTGAAGGACTGTGAATGTTATATTTGTTGGAACTGAAGAACTGAACATGGTGCAAGCACCACTGTAGGACCAATGTGCTGCTAATCATTCAGTTTTGAAATGTGTTTCAGTGTATTTGACCACATTACTATAGTAGTTCAACATACAACATTTGTTTTTGTCAGTAAAAAAACCCAAAGAAAATGAAACCTGAAAAAGCCAACCTCTGGCAACTTCTTTGATTGTATCATGATCACAGGATTGTGTGACCCCTCTTTGAACATGGCTGACATATTGTCAAGGTCATCTTGTGCCCATTTCTGCTGAGCTCGGGCTCATACTAGTGACTAAGTCGCAGATTGTAGTATGTTTTTTGCCATATTATATTTTTAAGTTATGATTTTTTTACTTTCTAAAACCCAGTTTTTCTGGAGTTATTGCCTTTTCTACTGAGACTACAACAAGGGCCATTGACCTGTACCTTAACTGGAAGCATCCCAACTGGGGTATTTCTACAAACTGCACAGAGTTTAGTATTTGAGAAAGATGCAGAATCTTGTAGTGTTCTATTTAACTGACCATGACAGAGTTGTTCCTATGTCCTGTACCTTACAATCTCATTTCCAGTGTAACTCAACACATTCTACAGGTGCTCTCTCAGGAGGAAGTTTATGTTTTACTTTAAATTTACCAGAACAAAAGTAACAGTTATTTTCATGACAGGTCATTTCCATGAACATAATGCCTTTTTGTGCTCAGAATTATTGGAAATATTGTATTAAGATACACTGGAGTAATATTTGAACAGGGCTCCAGATAATTTTTCAACATCAGGAGTACGTACTTTCTTATTTTTTCAATATTGGAGTACTGGAAAACCTTAAGAGTACATTAAGAGTACTGAATGGAATTTAATGGCATATCAGTAATCTTGTGTTTCGTTTCATATGTGCACCACAACATTGCTACTCTTGTGTAAACAGGTCAATGAACAATAAAACAATACTTTTTCAGATAAATATGTCTGTAAATGATTCTAAGACCGTACACCATTGTTGTGGTACATATCTGTTACGCTTTCTAAATTATTTCCTACTGTATCGTACATATTTTTTATCCGTACATACGCCGATACGGCGATCTGGAGCCCTGTTTGAATATTCAAAATGTCTGGCACTTGAACGAACCAATTGCATGCTTTGGAACACTTCAACAGTGCTTCCTGTCTCCCTCATGGTTAGTATCAGGTAAATCAGGTATTGTTGGGAGTCATGGTCACTGTGGTGTTAAACATGCATTAAGTCTGGTTTTGATATCAGACAGTTAACAATTATGTTATCTTTGTGGCGATTAAGATTTGATTCATGAACATTTGCGTCAATGTCATGTATGAGAACATGTTTTAAAAAGTTAAAACACTTCATGAATGTGAAATATATCATGGAACATGATCAAGCACATTAAGTACATTCAATATTTTAGGTGTATTTCAGTGTTCACGAATAGTGTCTGACCCTCTGACAAATCCGGCAGATTCGCCAACGGTCTGATAGAAGTCTACATACAACCCACAGGCCCCAGTGTCTGACTGTATGTTTCACAATGACTTTGACTGAAGTTGTTATGTGTGGCATGTAACACATGTTTCCTGTTTATAAATCTTATGTTTGTTAATAATTTCAATGCCAATTATAAGAAATGTTAAATCTGAAATGTGTGTTTAATTTTATTCTATGGGTCCTTTGAATTTTCAATGGGTCAGACAGACATCTGAAACTTACAGGACCCAATGTCCTGTTACTTTGAAACACCATCAGTGAACACTGGTATTTAGTTTTGTTTTTAAAATATGGTTAATATTATAAATGGTAAATATTGCATGCTGGGAATGGGTTGTAAAATCAGTGACTGATAATGAAATCATTCCAGCTGGTTCATACTTTGTGTAAAGTATGTGGCACTATCATGCTGATATTTAATATATGTTTCACTGTTTCCATTCAAGAAACTATGGAAGTCATATTTTCATCAGTTGGATTTTGTACGGACGTACATGACTTACAGATACATTTTTGGTTACAAAACCCTTCCTTTAATCAACTTAAAGAAGAGCTCACACATTACTACACTACCAAATACTCTACATCAGTACGTGCAGACACAAACTTGAATTACAATTTTTTGGCATTTATCATTGATTGATAACTGTTTAGTTTTTTATAACTTGTATGTAGACAGGACTATGTAGTTTTTAAGTGATAGAGTTATGATATATTGAAGTGTACTAAGTATCCCTCTAAAAAATGTATAAAAACTATGTTGCAACCACTTTGTAGTATAGGATGTGAACATTATTAAGTCAGATAGAAGGGCCATGAAGTGATATAGCACAGTCAACACAAAGAGCATCTCACCTGAATGTGTTTGGATATCAATATGATGATCATGTGTTATCTGATACAGAAATACCTGAGGGTGAATTCTATCTGTTGTCCCTCTTTATGCAGATACTTTATGGGTGTGTATGTATAGATCTAGCTATGCCGTGGAGGAGGCAGTGTACTCGGTACTGTTTATCATCTAACTCCAAGTTTCAGTAGCCTGTGTCTGGTGTGCAGAAAGTACAGCTACCGACTGAGGCTAGGGAAGTGACGTCAGGCTAGGGAAGTCCTGCTGCTTGTGGCAGTCCCCTGAGTATGTTGGTGCCATGTCATTGTAGCTCCTGTCATCGCCCTCCTGATACCGTGGTCTGGGTTTATCCACAAGGTACTCAGTGGCTCCTCTAAAGTAAATGTCCCCAGAGATCACATATCTTCACATCAGCAAATCAGCAAATCCACTGTTTTCTCAAGTCAAGAATATTGTAAGGATTAACTAGCATAATTCAGTAGTGGTGGTAATAAAATGAGTCCATTGTATATCCTTATGTTCTGTAGGGCTGCAAGAATACACTCCTGGTTTGATATGATACGTATCACGGTATTGACTCCTGGTTTGATATGATATGTATCACGGTATTGACTCCTGGTTTGATATGATACGTATCACAGTAATGACTCCTGGTTCGATATGATACGTATCACGGTAATGACTCCTTGGTTCGGTATGTTTTGATTCAATACACAAAAGCGATTAGGGGTTAAAAGGAAAACACTATTTTTTTGAAAACTAGGTTTATCTTTGGAACAGCAATATATAAACATATTTTTTTCATTCCTTGACTTAAAATAAAATAGAATAACTGATCAAGTACATTTCAATGTCTTGGAATATGAGACAATACAAATTTCCACTGTCATCAGTGTCATTCACACCTGGAATTATTTGTAAATATGAAAAACAAAATAAAATATTGATTGATAGCCAACAGAATGATCATGAAGTAAGATATGAAATATCTTGCTCTTTGAAAAGGATATATTTCTTATGGTGTTGTGAGCAATGACTATATGCAATACAAATATTGAAAATATCCTTGACAGAGCACCTCTTAGTTATGATTATATAACAGGCTGGGAATATCAAGTGTAAACAAACCAACCAAGTTGAGTCAGATTTTTATACCACAATACTAATGGACAGGACACTGCTAACATTTCTCAAACAAACCATGAACAATTGAACGTGAACAGTTGATCACAATCACAAAGCTTCTACTGTAACAATGCAGGATTGACCTCTATTATCACAAAAGTTGGATAATGTTTGTTTAGCAATCAAAAAGAGCTCAACTTGCTTGTAAATATCTGGCATGACTGTATCTGTGAAGTAAACTCTACACAGTATTTGGAAGTGAGGTTCTAAGACACTCCAAGTAAGCTCTACACAGTATTTGGAAGCGAGGTTCTAAGACACTCGAAGTAAACTCTACACAGTATTTGGTAGCGAGGTTCTAAGACACTCGAAGTAAGCTCTACACAGTATTTGGTAGCGAGGTTCTAAGACACTCGAAGTAAGCTCTACACAGTATTTGGTAGCGAGGTTCTAAGACACTCGAAGTAAGCTCTACACAGTATTTGGTAGCGAGGTTCTAAGACACTCGAAGTAAGCTCTACACAGTATTTGGTAGCAAGGTTCTAAGACACTCGAAGTAAGCTCTACACAGTATTTGGAAGCAAGGTTCTAAGACACTCGAAGTAAGCTCTACACAGTATTTGGAAGCGAGGTTCTAAGACACTTTCGAAGTAAGCTCTACACAGTATTTGGAAGCGAGGTTCTAAGACACTTTCAAGTAAGCTCTACACAGTATTTGGTAGCGAGGTTCTAAGACACTCAAGTAAGCTCTACACAGTATTTGGAAGCAAGGTTCTAAGACACTTTCAAGTAAGCTCTACACAG